GTTGGTAAACAATACAGAATCCTGCCCAGGGTGTGTGCTAACTCTCCCTTTTATCCCTATTTCCTTTTGTCTCAAGTGCTGTTTTCATAGAGCCCCTGAATTTGGGAAGATTCCTATGGCTTTTTTTTTTAACCACTGTGTGTTCGGAGCTGAAGAGAGCTGAGCCCAAGCCCCTGACTGAGAAGCCAGCTTTTCCCTGTGAGTAGCCTCTGACCTTGAGGGAGCTGCTGCCCCACCACATCGCCAATCCCGTGATGGGGCAGCAGGGATTGCAGGAGATGGTGAATCATTGGGTTTGCACCTTTCCTACCAACTATGAGACATCTTGGGCTGTTTTGATATTTGCCTTTCTTTTTTTAAGTCTTGGTCTCACACTTGTTCTGATTCAGGATAGCCACAAAGCTCTCAGCATTTCATGGTTGTCTCTCTGTCGCTCAGCCAGGGTCCTGGTGTGGCCTGGATCCTGCTGCCCCCTGACTCACCCCCATCTCCATATTAGCACCCCTGGCACCCCAGCAGCTCCTGGGAGAGACCTAAGCAGTGATAGAACCTGCTTTGTTCTGGCTGAGGTAGATCCTGATCTTGTGCCGGAGGCCCTTTCAGATAGCTTCCAAACTGATCTCATGTCTTTAAACAGCAAAATATTATTAAGCTGTTGTGAGTTGATGACTATATCAACATCCTAAATCCTTGGGGGTGGGAAGTCATAGAAGCCAGCTTGTCTCTTCCCAGGGTGCTGTTGGGGTCTCCATGCCACTGTGGCTGGCAAGTCTGCACAGCAAGCACGGATGACCCGCAGCCCATTGGTCTGCAGCGTCCCTGCCCTGGTAGCACATAGCTGCTATGGGGACTTAGCACTGTCATAAGAATTAATTACATTTTTAAATTGCCCCAGTTGCCCCATTTTTAGCCTTTAATGACTTCAGTACCCACTTACATAGGTAGCCTGCATGACCCCAAATTCCCCGAGACAAGAATAATACGCAGCGCTCCGAAATAAGCACAGTGATTCTTGGCATTCATGCTAGCCGGGTGATCAGATGCTGCCTGCACTACATAAAGTGGGGAAATTTTAGTGAACTGCATGAACGTTTTCCAAAGGACTAAGAGGCATGGATTTAAATACCTTTTGCACTTCTCCCTACCCACGGAATGCATTCTCTTGAAATGCTCTTAAAAGGAAATGCCCTTGTTTGGTACCCACTCTGCGCTGGTTATAAACGGGAGCTTCCCAGATAAAATATTTAAATTTCTCCTCCTATTTGATAGAAGACAAAATTGGAGCTCACCAAGGTTAAGTAACACATCTAAGATGAAAACTTTCTCTGCTGAGACCTTCCGGAAATCTACATAAACAAATAAGATTAATGAGAGAATTTTATATGAACATTAATTTGGAAGCTGCTGGGATGAGTTGTAGTTGGTGACACAGAATTCCTTCTACCAAGTAAGGACTACCAGGGACAGCTTACTTTAAGAAACCTGATAGTGAAAAGATGTGCTTTGTAAAAGATCACACATTGAACATACTGAATGCATGGAAATAGGCCTGAGTGGCTCATGCCCACGGGCCAGGTGCAGAGAGCGCTCACTGGCTTGGCTAACCCTGACTTAACACTGGACACAGGAGCAGCATTGGGACTTTCACAGGCCAGGTCAAAGCCTGGTGTGTGGGGCGTATGGAATTTTGAGAGCAAGATTCATCACATGGGTTCAAACTCCTAAGCTCTTAAGTTGCCAGCCTGCACTAGAATTTTCCTAAGGCAAGTGAAATTCTATACAGTGTCCTTCCATGCTTCCCTGCGGTGCTGGATGGGCAGAGGTGTAGGCTCTCCCCAGCTTCTGAGCATTTTCTATAGCTAGTAAGTTACAGAATTTAGAGGATTTGCCAAGCAAAACTATATGATAGTTTGGTTATTCAGTTCCTTTTCATTTCACAGAATATGTGCTAGCGAGGCGTGGTGGTGCACACCTGTAGTCCCAGCTACTAGAGAGGCTGAGAGAGGAGTTCGAAGTGAACCTGGAGGATCTAGCAAGATCCAGTCTCTCAAGGCAGGGGAGGTAGAATGGGCTCAATCTGTAGCACAGTAACGCAGAAAAGAGGTTATGTACTCATCTATGTAGCGTGTCTTCTGTTTTTTTTCTGTTGAGATACAACTAAAATGTGTATTTACTTCCCTAGATAAAATACATAAAGCTAAGTTATCCTTTTCAGTTTACTTATCCTTCAGGGATTGGTTGGGTACCCAGAGGAGCACAGTGCTAAGTTTTCAAGATTTGGTAGCAGACAGAAATGAGCAGTTGTTGCAGGAGTTACACCAGGGAAATGTCCCTTAGAGCCATTGGTTACAGGTGCCCAGCACAACGCTGGCTGTGGTTCCTTCTCCCACTCCTGAGGACTCTGTGGGACTCAGGTCTGGGAGAGGTGAACTAGGAGCTTGTTTCTGCTCTGCCTTCCTTAGAGCAGCCTTCTGCTTTATCTGAGATTCTGACATGGAAAAGAGGTGAGACATTCAAGTGTTAATTGATGACCTTGGGATTCCAGCAGGAGGAGGAAGTGTTGAGGTGGCCTCAAAGTTCAGAACCACTTAATTCACTGTTACTGGCATCCAGAGAGCTCAAAGAGCAAGGTGGACAGAAAGATTCTAGCCACACATGTGGGAGTTTACCTTCCCTTCTCCTGTGAGCTTGCTTGTGTTGGTATTCACTACACCAGGGATTGATTTCAAGGTTCATGATGAGGCACATGTTTTCTCACCGCCTTGCCTGATGGCTGGTGCTGCTGAGCCCTTCAGGTGTGGTCAGTGTGGCAGAGGAACTGAATTTTCAACTGTGCCTAGCTGTCATTTACTTGAGTTACAATTTCAGTTGCCACAGTAGCAAACATGGAAGCCCTGCCAGTTTCAGGGACGAGGATGGGTAGCATGCTGTGGGCTAGCTTACTGGTGTGTGGGGATGTGATTCCATTACAGTGGGTTCAGACACAGGCCTTTAAATGGTGCTCAGACTTGCATCCTCTTTCTGCAGCATCACCAAACAGCAGGAGCAACACACCACTAGCAGACGCCAACCTGTGTATCCGCCATTGAGTGAGTACACAGAGTATCACTCACGTAATCCTCAGTCCGAGTTCCCATGGTCTCCTCCAACTTACAGGGACACCCCTGAGTCACAGAGAGACACAGCCCTTGCCTCAGTCTTCAGACCCACAGTTCTCACCAAGAGCCACCTTACTAAACTAGAAGCCACTTGGTTGAGCACAGTCTCAGAGAACCCAGAGGACTCCAGAACTTGTTCTCATAGAAGAAATAACTTACATAAGTATTACAGTTTTTCTTTCATAGAGTGTTCATCCATCACTGAGCGTTATTCAGGCATAGACATACTCATGTGAGCTTGTGTGTTAATGTACACATTGGGTTTTATGTCATTTATAGAATTGTATTTCACACCTGTCTACATTGGTATCTATTTTGCTGTCTGGTTTAAATCATTACTAACTATGTCAAAGTCAGTGACAGAGTCACTGTTTGGGATTTTGAATTCTTCTATAGGAATGTGGTCTTCTGATGAAGAAATTGCTAACATGACCCTTCTCCTTAGTGTGTTGCTTTGCAGTAAGTACAGCTTCAGGCATAAATGACTGAAATGGGATGAAATGGAGATGTCAGCCCAAGACTGATAAGGCTTTTGGAAAATTTCATGATGCTAAATTATTTTACGTTTACCTGGTAATTCTTATTGCCTAATAATTACAATATAATTTTACTTTGGAGATTGGAGTTGGGCAGTGGTATTAAGAAACGCTGGTTTTGTAGACAAGCCACCTACACTCAGCTGGAACAGCCAGAAGCCAAGGACAGGACCCGCCTACCAGGCACCTAGACACTAGAGCCAGTGCCATAGCCTCACCTTCTGTGCTGGAATGTACAGGTCATTTTTCCCTGTTGTTTGCAAAAGCAAAAACTGTCTTAATTTCCCTAGAGCAGTCCCCTTGGGGAAAGTTTGCTCTGGTAATGTATTACCAGCTTACCTTCTTCGTGTTGCCCACCAGCTCAACCACCACAGTAATGTGTACAGACCACATCAGGCAACAGGGCATCATCCCTTAGCCTGACCTCAGTACTCAGTCTGGGAGAAATCCAGTTTCAAGAGGGAATGGCAAAGGGAGGATGTGGCAGTTGAGAGGCTGGTGAGCCATGGGTCCTACCTGGAGAAGCCTGGAACCAAAGTGGTGCTGGATGGTCACCCTGACACACTGCCTGCCTCCAGCTAGCGTCACTGGCTGGCCGGCTGGCTGGCTAGGGAGCTCAACAACTTCTCACAGTTTCAACTTCCAAATATGATCAAGTGTGCCAGCTTTTACCAATGCTAGACAGTGTTGATTAGGAGCTTGGTGGTGTTCTCTCTGCAGCCCAACTGGACATACAGGGCACCCCATGTGAATAGCCATCTGTCTTTGCTAGTGAGGGGCACTCCTTTGTATTTCAAGGAAAGAATGAAAAATACTGTTGTATAAAACCTTATGCAGCCCTCAATGTCAATGTCATTCTAATTACTATAAGCTTATAAGTCAGCGTTTGTTCTTCACAATGCCATCTAAATTTTTTTTTCTGTTCCATAATATGATTCCTCAAAGGGAAACAGTATCTTAATTTAAATAGTTTGGGTTGGTGTATGTACTATGTGTTATCAAGATCAAACATTCTTTTACGAGATTAGAAGTATAGGTTCCCCAGTTCATTCACAACGTGGGTATGGTTTAAATACAAGGTCAGACAGCTGCTTATTAAACAGATGTATACCCCGAAGGAGGGTATGCCATGAGGGAAGCCCAGCCTTTCAGCACAACAGTACCCCTTGCAACCTGCTGGCTAGGCGACAGCCTGTCTACACAATCGCTGGCTGTAGTCTCTTTCTACACTTGAACTTTGGGGACTTCTAGATGGACCTTTGGGTGATGAGTTATAGAATCCATAAGACACAGTGCACATACATACCCTTCCCGGTGGGCCTCTCCTTTCTCTAGCTCCTGAATGACCCCCAAGAGCACTTTGATGGTCTCCTGACTTGAACTGATCAAGTTCTCCATCATCTGAAGCTGCGCCTTGAGGTCCACCACTTCCGTGTGAGGCACAATCTGCTGGCATTCTTCCCCTTCAGCCATGGCTGTGGTGCTGGGCTGGATCTGCAGGGGCTGTTCCTTACATTCGGGGGACCGACACTGCCCTGGGGGTGAGCGGGCCAGTACAGAGCTGGGGGTTGCCTGCAGCCCATTGAGATGCGTGGCTCTCCTCTGCTCCTCATCTGCAGGGCAGAGGGACCACTGGCTGACTGCAGCCGAGTTTGACAAGCCAGGATCTGGGGTCCTAGTACTGATAGCAGGTGTATATAAGGTGGCCACCTCTGTTTTAAACACCCTCCCATGGGCCAGTGGAGTAGGCTCTTCTGAGTCCGGGGTGCCTCCTTCGGACTTCGCTCTCCTCTGCAGCCGGTGCACAGCCTCTTCCGAGGGAGGCTGCGAGGAGTTCTGGAGTAGAGCCTCCGGGTGGCTGAGCACATCGGGGTTTTTGCAGGGCTCAGCACAGTTAACCCCCGGGAGCAGGTCCATGGCGTTCACATGCTCATTGGAGTGGAAAACCAAGGCTGTGGTCTTGTATATCCGCCCTGCGCTGCATGGTTGGAGCTCTTCCATGGGTCCTGCCTGGCTCTTCTCCTTCACATCTGTTAGGAACCCATTGTTTTGGCTTTTGAAGGGATCTGCAGCTGGGATGTTTTTGAGATTCCCTTTCTTTCGGTCCAGAGGAAATGTCTGATAACACTTCCTCAGGTCTGGTGAGGTCTGCACACCTGTGCTCTTGGTGACATTGGGAATGGAGCGGCGTGCGGGCACTGTCATGTATTTGCGGTAAGCTGCTCTGCAGGACCCAGGTTTGGCCTCTCGCTTCTCGCCCAGCTGTCCCGCGGAAAGGTGTGTGTCCCTCTGCTCATTCTGGGCCTCACAGATATCCTTAAAGCGCACCTGCAGGGCTTTGTTCCGCTTTTTAATCTGCCGATTGGGATCCAGAGCATATTTCATCTCCAGGGCCAGGCAGGCAGCCGGCTCCACTTCACTGTCGGGCGTCGTGAGTGTGCATTTGCTGGTTTCCTTACTGACCATGGTTCCTGCATTCAGAGACAGCAACAGAGGTGTCAGTGGATCAGAAACATACGAGCAAACACGGACTTCTAGCCAAAATTATGACTGCCGGCTTTCTAATTATTTTTAAGCAGGTGAGGTCGGCCTTTATGTTAAGGAGAATCAGACAGGCGGGGAGTTGCTGGCAGGCACAGCACAAAATGCTTCTCAGATATTAAAGCCTACTTGCATTTCCATGTGGGATACACTCGTTTTTCTTTTGATTGTAATGCATGTTTCCCCACTAGACAAACCTGGTTTACTGTAGTCATCAAGAAGCCCAATGGTGCTGCCTTGTCTGCTTTGCAAATTATATTCTTGCACACACGTCTCCGTTTTGTAGGCAGACCATTTACTAAGTGCGACTTACTTGGTTTGGGTTTTTACTAGTGTTTGCAGATGGCATGATTAACCTATTATTGGAATCAAGATGTGCTGTCTTTAAAGACTTACTGAAGAGTCTACGTCCTGAGCAGACAGTGCGGAGAGCCTGTGAGGAAGCCCCGGAGAAATAGGTTTAGGTTAGCCGACCTGGATCCCATGGGTGCTGCCCACAGTCCTGCACTGAATCTTCCTAAGGTACATCCTGGAGGGTGGGTTTGCTTCTCATGGGTTAACACCAGCCGGAAGAGGAACTTGGGTTTCCCTGCATCTACAAACACAGCAGTAGCAATTCTCTTTTTCGATCTCATGGGGAATGGAATTTGAAAATACTTCTAAAAAAATTAAAAGAAATTATTCATCCTAGATTCAAGTTTTGTGTTTTGATCATAGCCTTGGAAAATGAAAACCATGGTAGTTGTTTCCGTACTTAAATCCTGAAAGAAAATAAAATCATGAGGCTTTATGTTAATCACGCAAATTCATCCTGGGCTGAATTATTAAATGCGGCTAAAAAGATGCAGGTGGCCAATGATTCCTCTTGGGGAATACCAGGGGGGTAAAAACGCCTTCACTTTATTAGGCAGATTCACAGCTGCTTATTGCACATGGAAGAACTTTCCTGGGGCTGAACTTAAAGCAGGATAGCACATTTAATTAAGTACTTTTATTTTATTTATTTAAAAATTCATTATTATTAGAGAGAGACAGAGAGAGAGAGAGAGTGTGTGTGTGTTGTATGTGTGTGTGAACTGGCCTTTGCTTTACCCTTGTCTTTGAGAGCATTAGGGGTAGGTGGGGGGTACTGGACATGTAGCTGCTGTGCAGGGCGCTGCCACGGCCTAGTGTCCAGAGAGGCGACATTACAGACACAAGTGGTGAGAACTCTACTGCCCAGCTCAGGGTTGTGAGACCTTGTGTCCTGTTCTGGGGGCCTGAGAACCGAGCCTGGACTTGTGGAGAGATGCCATAGTGACTCCAACAAGTGGAGAGTGACTGCTGCTCACGGTACCAGAGAATCCATGGGTCAGATGCTCAGGTAGTCTGTAAGGCCCTTCCTTACAAGTATTCCTGCAGGTCAGTAGTATACTTTCATTTCAAGGAGAATATTCGGGATCCAAGGGGTTACACACTTATTCAGTGTTATACAGTAAGCATAGGCAGGAGTAAGACCCTAATTGATCAGACCTAAAATCCATGTTGTTTGTAATCCACGTGGCCAACAGAGTTCCAGCCTTCCTCGTGTCCTCAGTCTTTATTGAAAGCAATTGAATCAGCATTGTAGGTCGGTATAGAATACCGACCTACAATGGTGACTTGGTGAAGGGAAGAGGAGAGAGACCTGTAGCGCCTGTGTTGGAGTCGTTCCCCTCTGCAATCTGGGGCCTCTTATGAACTGACTCCCGGCCTCTGGGCCAGCATGCTCCTGCTGCCTTCAGTTGCCACCACTTGTTATCAAGTGAAAGGCTTTAGTGAAAAGTCAAGTTCTGCATACTGTGCAGTGAATTCACTGGTAATCATGTTGAAGGATAACAGTAATTTCTGTGAGATTGGATTGAATTTAGACCACAGTGTCTCAGTCACTGCACTGCTGATAGTTAGTGAAGGTTCTGTCCTGTGCAGCGCAGGATGTGCTCTAGCAACCTCTTCAGCTCCTGTGCGCAGGACAGAAGTAACATGCCTTCCTCCCCATGACTGCTAGAGAACTCCGGATTTTGCAAGTGAGTCCAGGGGGAAGACTGCATTAGGTACTTCATCCCCCCAGGCCTAAGGTTCCAGTTCTCTCCCATGTGTCCTGAAAGTCAGTGTTCTTAGGGAAAGCAAAGGGAGCCCTTTGCTGATTTCTTGGGTGCTACAGATAGCTGGAGCCTCTATAATTTGAAGGTCCATCAACAGGGCAGTTTTAGAAAAAGTGAAAAGGAAAAGAACAACTGGAGATCTGTCTGTGTCTTGTCTCTATTCTGCAGAAGACCAAATTGTATGTGGTGGGTGGGATAGGGCAAGCCTGCTCGGAGAGATAATAGATATCTTTTAGAGACACTTATCCCTACAGGCTAAAAAGATGCTCACAAAAGAACCTGGTGTGGGGAGCAGAGTATTAGAAACCAGGGGCATAATAAGAAAATTAAATCTTAACCCTCACTCTTATCTGGCATTCATTCTTGAGCAGCCTTTGCTGTCCAGGTATGTCAGAATGTATTGTGCCATCATTTCTGCAGAAGGCCTTCATACTAGGGAAAATTTGAAAGAGAGAGCATTTTTACAAAAAGCAATTTACTAGTAATTTTTCAGCCTTTTCCTTGCCACTACTGAAAAATGTGTGTCTGAATAAGTTTGTCCTATGCTGCTATTCATCATCACGATTTGCCAGGAACTGCACTGAAATAATTTTTTTATATCACTCTGCTGGTTTGGAAAGATATTCTGAGTGCTGGACTCAACCATCACACTCATAAAACAAATCAGAAGAATTAATTGCTAGTGGCAAATAATAATAGTAAAAATATTCTAAAGCTCTTTTTTGCTCTACAAAGTTTCTGAGTTCATAAAAATCATTTCCTTCTTAGTGAAAATGATGGTAGCTCTTAGGACTTTTAATCAGCCTACTTTGTTGAAAGTAGGAGTAATTGAGTTGTCCTGATTTCACGGATAGGGAAGACACCAAGGGACTTCTGCAGCTGATTTATTTTGGCCTCTGATGAGGTTATGACTTTCTTTTGATGGCTGAATAAGATTTTCTTGGACATTAAGATTTAGTAGAGTGGACACATCTCTGTAGGGTGTTCACCTATAGTCTCTTGGGAGGATCAGGCTTATAGTAATTACTATTAAGGAAGTGATTTGTCCTGAAAGCAAATGGTAGATTCTCAGAAGACTGTGTGACAGGCAGAACTTTCTCATGCACTGGCTCAGTCATCATTCCTTTTTGCATCTGTTCAGCAAATAATAAGTACGTATGTTACAGTGTTGGATTACCAGTCTGCACGTACGTGCTATAATTCTGTGTCCTAGCTGGATGCCAGCATTCCCATGTACTTCACTTGTATTTTCTTACCTGACCATTATAAAACCCCCACAGTTGAAAGGTTATTGTTAGGCCCACACTGAAGAGAGATATTGAGGACCAAGATTTTCTTTTGTAACTTGCTTGGTGTCATAGGGCTAGCTGGCTACACACATCCGGAGTGTATATGATGTCCATGTAGCAAAATGCGCCACCTGAAATGCCCCATGCTTGGCTTTAGTAAGCCTCTCGTTGCTGATATTCATCCAAGTTGTTTCCTTGGCCTGTTCCCATGATATTGCTGGGCTTGGGTCATGCAAGGGCTTCCACTGGGGCTCTGAACACGCCTGGACTTGTAGCACGGACAAAGAAGGCCGCCTGCTTGGAGTAAGCACGAAACTCAAGTGGCATCTGTGGCTGTAGTTTACCCTGCCTGGGTTGGGCCTGGAACCAGGGGTCCTGGTCCTTGTTCATCTCTCGGTTTTAAGGCAGCAGGAGTTGGTGAAGTTTATTTTTCCTACACAAATTGTGGTCTGGAATTCACTGGGCTATTCAGCCTTGGGGCGAAAGTGGCTAGTCATGATTGTGCCTGTCTGGCTCAGGGAGAACTAGATGTCCAGGAGCTGTTTGGAATATAAATATCTCAATTACTCTCATATTAAATTTCATAATCAAATGTGAGTTGTAAATATATAAGCCCTGTATGTTTAGTGATGTAGAGTTATTTCTGTATGCTGCTTTAAATTAATAGCTTATATAAAAATGTTCATCCCAACTTCAGTGAAAAATAGAAAGAACCAAATGCCTAACAATAGCTAAACATTAAGTAAATTATGGTGTGCATTCACTTGGTACAGCCATTAAAATGATAATTGTAAAGATTATTTAGGATCATAGAAAAACTCTTAGGAAATAATGTTAAGTGAAAGAAAGCAGTCTACAGATTTTACTGGAAAAATGATGAACAAATGTGATCCTTCCTTGGGATTAAGATTGTGCATCCAGGGTCATGTTTGTCCACGTTTCCCAGTTTGGAGGGTGGGGTATAGTAAGTGCTATCTTATTTCACCAAGTAAAAATGCACAGGGCAAAAGTAGTCTGCATTGTTAAGCAGACCTGTGCAAAGCCTGTGAGGACTTTATTTCCAGTGAGATAAATCCAGAATGATTAGATTTGTGCACAGTCACCAGAAATCACCTTTCGTTGTTTTGAGGAAGCTGTGAATAAACAAAATAATTTTGTGATATTGTACGAGTGAGAGAGAGAGAGAGAGAGAGAGAGAGAGAGAGAGAGAGGGGAATATCCTTTAATTTATGTTTTTACATATGTGCTTATGTATGTATACATCTACAAACTGAGTGTATTTAACAGAAGATATGTTAATATTCAGGAAATTTACAGGTAGGAAGGAAGCTGTCATTGTTCTTAATTAGGATCAAAATAGACTTGGCCTGCATTTATAGGCTGCTGTTTATGGGATTTCATCATTTGACAAGAGAGTCTGTTCCTTGAATTCCATCCATTCGAAAAATGCCTACAGGAATTCCCAGGGTCCCATTCGAGGCTTATGATAGCCATGTTATGGTGCAGTCCACTGCCAGG